GCAGTACCGCCACCTTCTGCTCTGGAGTGTAAATGCTTCGCCTATAAGAAAAAGGAGCAGCGCATGAACCGAACGAAACACACGCGAATCAAACCGAGACAGTCGAACCGAACAGTTCGGACGGTTTTCAAAAACCGTTCCATCCCTAGTCTAGATACGGCCGAGGCGGAGAGGAAGTGGGGACAAGTTTGTGCGACAACCGAGGGACATGAGGGTGAAAAAGGGTCCCAGCGTTCTGGCGCACCTCGCTCTTCTAGCTGGTCCATCTTCATGAGTCTTTTCCACAATGGCGGTCATACAAACAAAACAAGCCGGTAAGGCACCAAACAGGAAATACGCATAGAGTAGAGCGGATGGTGATTTGACCAATCAGAGGCCTCCTGTCTGCGGTCACCTCCTCTGGTAATTGTGGGAGAGGTGCACCAGAAGGTCTGCGGAAGGGGAGGGGATGTCTCTGCGTTCACCATGAAACACACTCAGACCACCTGGTTTCGAAGTATAAATCAGCCTTAACTGTTGAATTGGGAGAACATTTCTATTTTCAGCTTTTTTAAAGGTATTGTGGAGGATTTTTGCAATTTGAAAAATAAGGCCTGCCCACCCCACCTGTGCGAAAGCGTGCACAAGCCCATTTCTCCTCGTGCACGCTCTGTTTAAAAGTTGCTGTTCAATAGCTCATACAAGCTTGCTGTGCCCGAACGTCCGCTCTAACCCCTAAATCCCTCAATCACTATATAGAGCGGGGACTATATAGTGGACTTTATGGTGAACTCAGTTAAATGAATGTTTTTAATTTGAACTTATTTATTTATTTGACGGGGACAGTGTACATTAAGAAGCATTACTGCAAACGCAGTAGGATTAGCCAAAAGGCTATTTTTCATCTGTTGTCCTTGGACAGATCTTAAAATTGGATCTTTAAAGTACTTTGATCTCTGGTTGCATGTTTAGCCTCATTTCTCTGCAGAAAGCTGGACCTCCATTCCAATCTGCAGTGTTTTACAGCCTGTAACAGGTTTTCTTACTGGATTTTCCTGGATTTAGAATAGGGCTAACACAATATATTGCATTTGCAAATAAAGCACCCATTTATAATCACACTATATTCAACACTAAGACACAAAATTTCTCCCTCCAGCCCTTTAGGTGGCAGTAAAATGCTTGAAGTTGGTTTGTCACAACACAGAAAGGTAGAGAAAGTTGTAGCTGACATGCAGATTCATGCATGTATGCAGAAGCAAAAACTTTTTCGCACAAAAATGGACGCTGGGTAAGCAAGTTTCCAAAAAGCTCAAAGCTTGGGGTGAAACATCTAGAAGTTGCATTTAATGCAAAGGAAAATTGAAATAAAACCATAATTGCAATTTAGATTTTTTTTTTTTTTTACAAAATCAGCCCTAATTTAGAATCTTTCATCTTTGCATCTGGTTTGACCAGCTTCCTTTTTTCCAGTGAAAAGTATCCCCGTTAGCGTGATGGTGCCACTGCAGTCTTTCACTGTTGGGATGGTGTGTTCAGGGGGATGTGATGTTTCTTTTTCTCTACATAAGTTTTGATTGTTATCTAAAAGGTACAGTTTTGCCTCGTCCGACCAAATGTTTGGTAGTTTTGCAGTCAGTCCAGCTTTGAACGCCTTTCAGCTTTGGGATTTGTTCCAAGGTTGCAATAATATTTGAGAAACTAACCCTGTTTTAACCGTGAGTGCTGGTTTCCTCTGTCTTCCTGGTGCAGTTTGTTCACTAATGTCCTCAATCGTGCTTTAAAGGGCTTCACGGAATAGCTGCATTTATACTGGGAATAGATTACAGGGATCGATGTTAACTATCGCCTGATCGCTCGGGGCAAGTAGTTTTAATTGTCGGGAGAGTACAAATTTCAT